TGCCAAAAGTGAAAGACTTGAATCCCAACGATATGTCACTTGTTTTGGACAATCCTTACGGAAGTACTTGTGATGGCATTTGGAGTCAATATTTTTAATATAAATATAAATTTTAATAATAGAATTTTGTTAATCAAATTAGTAAAAATATTACCTTTTAATTTAAAAAGCATATAATTAGAATTACCAATAAATAAATTTAATTAAATCTAAAAACAATCTTAAATTCTTGCTGCCTTTAGTAAACAAACTTGTTTAATTAATTCGATATAAAGAGTATTATAAAATATTTTTAATATTATTTCATTGACAATAACTTAAATATATCATAACTCAAACACATAACTTTATATAAATTTAGTAAAGTTTCTATTATAAAATTATTTTAAAATGTAATTTACATATAAACAAAAAGTATAAAGTTGACAAAAAATTATATTAATTGAGCAAGTAACACGGAATCAATATCAATGGAAATCAATGGTAAATATTTCTCACAATTTCTTTTCCATGCGTTATGTTTGATGGGATGTATGTATCAAACGTATAAATTAAGTGAACTATACTTCGGATACCAGACCACAACCACAATTAAATTTTCAGATAATGGAAAATTGTTAGTACCAGGGTTCTTTGCGTGTTTTAAAAAATCTTTACTAATTAAGTCTGAGATTTTAAAACAATACATGTTTCAAAATAGTTTACAATTAGATTCCTTGATAAATAACTTCACGATTAAAAAACAATTCCAAATGTTAATTGACCCTGAGCAATTTCTTGATTACAATATATATTCTGGCAAAAATATTATTAACAACTGTAGCCTAATATCAAAGTATTATCGTGGGCTAGATCAATCATATTTATGCGTAACATTATTTTCGCAGTTAATTGAACAACCCATTGATAATTACTACACTCCGAAAGATGGCCATGTTCAAATAAGTCTTAATTCAAATTACGCAAAAAGAATATATTTTTATTACAATATTGTATCAAGGTTTGAAAGGGTGAAACGTTTACGACAGTTTAAAGTGCTTAATATTCACGCCAATACGGTATCAAAACTCATTAGATTGAACAGGATCATAGTAAAGCACTTGAATAAACAATACAAGTATTACGACCCCAAATATGACCAGTGTATTGACCAATGTATTAATAACACGTTTATAGCAAAGACATGGACGTACCCCGAAAGTGAATTAAATTATAACATGGATTGTGATTTGAAATTCTCGGGAGTATTCCGAGTGAAATGTGCAAGCAACAATGCGATTACTATGCGCAAATTAGTACCTACAATATTGGTTATAGGGAATACTTTGAGACAATTGATATGGAGCCAGATACTAATTTAAATCAGATAACGATTAAGCTCTCGAGTAAGCCTGATACAATTTATGAGATATCGCTGAAGATGTCTGTCAAAGAGTATATTTGCAAATTTTGTAAGAAATTAAGTGCAATACGTATGACAGAGTAGGGCTGCCAAACGTCCTCCTTTGGAGGATTTTCCTCCAATCGGTCTCAGGAGGACAATGTAATGTCCAGAGATAATTGTTAAAATAATTCAAATATTCATTTCATTTTCAATTATTATTCGAAATTCGTGAAAATAATCTGCGAGTTTGTAATCATTCCTTAAACAATTTATTAAATAATTTTTAGGAGTACAAGTATTGTATTGTATTTGAATTGTAATTAGGCTTAAATGATAGTGTAGCTATTATGAGTAAAAATATTAATAATTAAACATTTTTAAAATTTTTGTCCTGCCAATGTCCTCGTGAACAGGCTCAATTTTGACTATTTGTCCTCCCAGGCCAAGAAAATAGTTGGCAGCCCTATGACAGAGTGATAGTGTGGGCACAATTGTTATGCAAATTTGGTGATATAGGCATAAAATGTTTATTATTTGTCAACATTTTGGTGTGCATTTGATCAAAATATTCATATTGTAAGGCTTTTCTTTAAAACCTGGCCTTAACTCACCTTATGAGTCAGAATTACATCATTTTTCCCAAGTCACCCTGGCTAAACCGACCAAAAGGTGCAAGATTTTATTAATGAAATCAACACTTCCATATACCCCAAAGCCAATCAGGGCCCTAAGATAAAAAGTTGTTATCCCATCACTACTACCCAATATGACTTAAGCCTGTTTTCCATACGCTTAGCTAAAATATTATTTATATAGGCCATCAGACATTATAACACTACTCGACTCACACGGGTTCAATCAACTCATCCTTGATTGCCCCATAAGCCCCTTAGGCCCCTTGTAGACCCCCCTTTTCGAATTAACTAACAAATAGGCTAAATCAAGCCTTACTGCTAGTGAGGTTCAATGACCTCTCAGGTTTACTGTCGCCAAGATGGTTCGCAACAGCTATTCACAACCAAGGGGGTTCATCAGCGCTCTAAACAGATCAATCATAATACAGTCCAAGCGGCTGCACTTAAAACCAATCCCAAGCTCGAAACATCAGGCGATTGACGACCTTAACGAATAGACATGTATCACACTGGTGGGTAACTACATTATTGGTTAATTATGATCAACCAATTATGGTCAATACTTTAGACTCAACCCCATTGACCTGCATTATAAAACAGGAGGCGCATAGCAAAAGTTAGTTCGGCTCTTCGTCTTACTGATGTATTTTTAACAGACACGCATACCATTTGCTCTACTCACTCAAACTACACTTCTCTACTCTCCGTTGTTGTAATTGTCAATTACTGATCAAAGTGATCTAAATGAATCAGTTACTTAAGCATAATGTCTAACCTCTTAATCGACGCAATCAACTAACCAAAAGACAATCCAAGACAGAACTCCTTACGAGTTGAACGGTCATCACCATCGTAAGTAAAATCATAATGAATAGAGTATGGAGAAGCAAACAGTTTGGGGGGCAGTGGCACCTTCAGGGGCTCATCACTGGATGGGGACTCGCGGAGATGAGTCGCCCGTTTAGGGCAAAAACGGGTATAGGTGTTACAATATGTTTAATATTTTAATTTTCAATACAAAATCCATGATTTATAAATATACATCTTTATATTGTTTTTTATTCATGATAAATTTAGCAATATAATGGATAAGAGTATGTGAATATAGTTTGAGTTTTAAAAATATATACCTTTAGAAAACAAATGCTTGGTATTGCAATAAATTGGTTGATTATTATATTGAGCATGGTCGCAATTGGTGTAATATATGTGAACAATACTTTAAGCCGAATAATGGCAAATCCTGAGTAAGAATAAAAAATATTTAGTTTAAAATTTTACATAATATGTATGAATACTATTAGTTTTAATCGCAAATTTATCTCTAGATTTGTTAAGAAAATTTACACAAACGTTATCACTTGGGTGGGACCGTATTGTATCGGGATACTATTGGCGCAATATTATCACAAATATCCCAATAATCGTTACGCAAATTATGTATATATTGTGCGGATTTTGTTAAGAAAATTTACACAAACGTTATCACTTGGGTGGGACCGTATTGTATCGGGATACTATTGGCGCAATATTATCACAAATATCCCAATAATCGTTACGCAAATTATGTATATATTGTGCGGATTATTGCAAATAATTTCAAAGATTTGATAATTTGTTAATTTTTTAGAAATATGGTTCAATTTTATGGAGATTATGCATCGCAACAATGACCATGGTCATATTAACCAGCCTTTTGTATGAAAACAAATCCATGCCATCGGATAATATGTTGAGTGCTCTGTTTGTCTCAATCCATTGCATCCTATGGTCTATATGTGTGGCGTATGTAATATACACGTGTGGGACGGGTGGGGCACCGGTGCTCAACGGTACACTCTCGTGGAAGGGATGGCTACCTATTAGTAAACTGACTTACCAGGCTTATCTCATTCATTTACCTGTTTATTATTATATGTTTTCCACAACCAGACAAACAGTTAACTTAACAATAGGGACAGCGGTAAGTGGTTTATGAAAATTGATTTAATATTTTAAACTCAATTAATAGTATTTGAAATCTAATTAATTGACTCATTATTGTTGCAGTTATTGGAGTACATATCCGGAGTAATGATTACATATATTATCAGTTATTTCGGTTATGTTTTAATTGAGAGTCCATTCATTCAAATTGCAAATGAATTGCTATAAAAATTTAATAATATGTTGTTTGCCAATCTAGTTTTAATATATGTTTTAGCGATCCTGGTGAAATTGTCATTTAAGAAAGTTAACATTGTAAAATATTTTTCTGCATTCTAGGTAATATGTTATGATAATATAATATTACAACATTGACAAATATGATATGACTAAGTCATAACCATAGGGACATTATGATTAAAAATAAAATATTGATAATGTGTTTATTAATGTATAGCCATTAATAATGGATGTCCAGTTCTAACGCCCCTATGGTTATGAGTTAGTCATATAAGGTATAATTGATCATTTTATGTAGAGCATTTGTAATTATTTTAAAAGTGTAATAAAAATATAAATATATTTCTTATTATAATTAAAATTAGATTTATATATTTATATTTGTAAATATTACAAAATAACTTATTGAGAAATAGATTAATTTATTGATATTATGATTAGGGCTGCCAAACCTCCCGGTTTCACCGGGAGTCTCCCGGAATCAGGGTATGTCTCCCGTCTCTCGGTTCATTGTCTACCTTGAGATTGATTTCTCCCGGGCAAAGATTCACACATTTATACACAAATAAAAGTTGTGATTTAATGAAAATATATATAAAACAACATTTAAATGAAAATAAAGTTTTATACCGTATAATTGTTAAATGATTAATGTTTAAAATTATTTTTTCCTGTAATGTGTTTGCTTAATTAAATAGTGATTAATTTTAAATGTAATTATTTATAGATTCACACTTAAAATATATTTTGAGCATCATTGAGAATATTTCTATTGTTAATAACTATTTTTATATTAAAAATGTTAAAATTTAAGATAAGCTAAATATACTTAATTTAAATAGGTCAAGAAATTTAGAATAAGTTTTATTCTTTAATTAATGGATTGATTATTCATATAATTTAATTAATTTATAATTTTATTCAATTAAATCCAAAGGTCTAATATAAAATTAAAAGAAAATGTCAACATTCAACTCTATTTATATATTTAATAGTAAGAAATTATATGGTTAAAAATCTATGAAAAATTTTGAATAATTCTTTATAAATCTGCCGGGAGTTTCTATGTAAACTATTGAAAGCTCCCGTTTATGAACTTTTTGGTTTGGCAACCCTAATTATGATGTTAAAGAATTCGTTTAATTGGTAAATGTTTTCATTGAGAATATATTCTACGAAAAGAGTTGATTCTTGTCATCAGTTATTTGATCCGTGAATTGAGTCCACAATTGATCCATAATTTGAGTCCTGTATGTAGTCCTCTATGAATAACGAGACAAATAATAAAATCAAAACTTAATTAGTGATTATATTTATCATATGATTCACACAAACCTCAGTCCAGACAATATGTCCACATTTCACTCATTTGTGACAATTTTTGACTATAATTTCCCACAAACTGTGAAATATGATCCGCCATTGGCTCCTGAAGTATGTCTCTATGTCTCAAGTATCTGAAGACATGTTTAGAAGTTATTAAGTAATGAATGAAAGAGTTTATGATAACATTAATGAGACAATCAATCAATATATACATTCAAGTGTTGGCCACAGACTCAGAGTCCACACAATTGCCATCAATTTGACCACAAGTTTTAAACTCGGAATTCCATTCATTAAGTGTCTGAACACTAGCCATGGATTCAATGTCTGTGGTGTCCACCACTTCTCTGATCTCTTTGGGAGGGGGGTCAATTTTTTACTAAAACACCATGTCCAGGTCCAAATTTTATATTCACAGAATGAATTGTAATTATTATCATATTGATATATGATGCTTTTAATGACAAATTATGAAATATTAACTTTCTAACTGTTTCGATTAACGCACTAGATTGTTTTATATTCTTATAATTAAAAATCAAATAACAGGAAAACGGTATGATATATTAAAATGATTTCTTCACTAAATATATTAGACAAATGAGGTTCATTAAAAATAGCAAAATATGTTTTGATCCATACTATCCATACTATTAGAGGTGTTGGGGTCCGGACCTGAATGGCACCTATACTTTAATAAAGTATCTGGTGTTTGTCATCATAATTGGTGGGTCACCATGCTCAATATGGAATCAATTAGTGGATTTGATAGGGTATATTTATTTATATTTGCTTTATAAAATAATATTCTATTGATATATTTCTATTACAAACTATATTTATATACAAACTGTATATTTAATATTGAAATTTAATTATACAAACATTATCCGCAACAAAACAGTGCCAGTTAATAACCTGGTCATTACTCATTGAGTGGAGACTTTTCTTACTTTCGCCTATATTTCTAATATTTTTTACAAATAATATCAGGTAATTGTTTATTTGTAATCATGGTTATTTATATGCAAGCAATTTAATTAATGAAACATTTATCTTATAGAAAACAAATTTTTGGATTTGGAATAAGTTTGTGTACTATTATATTGAGCATGGTCACAATTGGTGTGGTATATGTACAAAATGACCTCCAATTTACTCGAAATAATAAGTTAATATGTATAAAAATATTGAATTATAGAAATTTATGTTTGCTAAAACTACTGTATGTATAGTATATAAATATGTAAAGTATGAGTAGATTTGCGTTCAAATGAATAAAAGTTTTTAATGCAGTCGTGAAATATTTTTATAAAACAAAATTAAGTTTTATTTGACTTTTATTTAAAAAATACAAATAGTATTAAATGAATTGAATAAAAATTAGTTGACAGTGTCACGAATAGTGCACTGAATTTGTTTTCTAATTATGTCCTCCTTTTGTGTGCATTTGTATTCTCTTTAAATACAAAATATTTGATATTATTGTATTGTCGGTGTGTTTGTGTGGGTGCGAGTGCTGGCTATTCTGGTGGTTGACCCCATTCAGGCCTTACATTTGACCACCAGTTCCCATACACTTTGTTTGCACTGATGTCCACTTCTACTG